AAAAAATTACTTAAATGATTTTAGCAAATGGCTGCAATATAACAAAGAGTGAAAAATTTAAGGGGGTCTGAATACTTTCCGTACCCACTGTATATATATATATATATATACACACACACTTACAATCAATCATATCCTACTGCTGTTACATTTTATTTACATATTACCTACTTATCTAATTGTCATTTACCTACTTACCAAACTGTCTAACTTTTATGTTTTGTACTCAGTGTACTATCTGTATTTATTGTCCATATTTACTGTTGTCTTTTAGTCCTTGTGCTGTCTACTACATACATCACTGTGTTTTCTGAAGGAACTGTATTTAATTTTTATCCACTGCAATGCAATGTGCTAAAAATGACAATAAAGTTGATTTGGTACATTTTATGAACAGCTGGAGAAGGACAACCAGTTGTCAGAGCTCGTGGAAATGGTTGTTGAAACACAGGCTGAGGTTGGAGCTAGTGGGTACAGTGTTGTGGGTGGAGGGGAGCAAGGCATCTTCATCAAAGAGGTCTTGAAAGACTCCCCAGCAGCAAAGCACCTCAGTCTACAGAAAGGTACCAAGGGACTGTATTTTACATTACAAAGTGCAATGTCAAATACTGTACACTGTAAAGACTTGAGCCACTGTCCTGGAAAAGACAAGCAGGAGAAACAACTTTAACCTTATAATCATTAATGGACAGGTGTTGAGTACAGGTGTGAATTAATTTAGTTTCCTGATGTAAGTTATAAATATTTTTTGATGATGTGTTATTGCAGGAGATCAACTGCTAAGTGCCAGGGTGTATTTTGATAACGTCAAATATGAGGACGCATTAAAAATTCTTCAGTGTGCAGAACCCTACAAAGTGTCCTTCTTTTTGAAGAGGACTGTGCCAGGAAGTGAAGTCAGCATACGTCCAGGTGCACAAAATCTTGAGCTCAGAGGACCTAAGGCCAAGATGCAAAAAATGGTACATGCTGAAATATTGCTATACAATAGAATAATTTTTTGAACATCCACAATATTTCTTAAAGTTAATTAATTTTTCAAAAGTACTTACACAACATTAGAAACTAGAAGGAATGATAACCTTTCTCTTGCAGAGCGTCAAAAGTGTGAAACCATTCAAAACTAAGAAAAGGAGAGGAGGAAGATTTGGATTGAAAAGACTGAAAGAGAACAAAATATCAAGAGCACGGGCAGAGCTGGAAGTTGATGGATCACCTGGTAGATCAGACCTCAGTCCTGTTGATGTTGAGTTTGTATTCCCGAAGTTCAAGATAAGGAAAGGTGGGAAGGCCACTGCAGATGGATCAGAACATCTGGAGGGTGTTATCACTAGTACTAAGAAGAAGAGGAAGATCAGATTTCCAAAGATGAAGGCCATGGATGCTGCTGTTGGTGAAGGGAAGGCCAATATAGATGTTTCAACACATGAAGGAGAGGCCTCTGGATCCAAGCTGAAAGCGAAGACGAAAGGTCCAAAATTTGGAATGAATTTCCCAAAAATTCAAAAGTCAAAGTTAGATGTACAATCTACAAATGACAGCTTTAAGGTGAAAGAACTAGAAGGCAAATTTAAGCTTCCATCAGTAGAGTGTGATTTCAACATGCCTCAGGGCAAGGCTGAAACTAATGTTTCTAATTTTGAGGTTAGTGTTAAAGGAAAAGGAGAGGATCCTGAGATAAAAATTCCAAAGATAAATCTGGATGTCTCAGATACAAAGGTGACAGTCCCAAAGTTCAAACTGCCGAAGTTAAGACTTTCTTGTCATTCAGATGAAATTGATGGAGAGGCAAGGAAAGAAACTGATACATCTGAAAATAAACTGAAAATGCCCAAGATTGACATCAAAGCACCAAATGTGGATTTGGACTTGCATCTTCCAAAGACTAGGGGCAAGGCTGAATTCAAAGATGTTGAAGTTCCCGACTGCACTATAAAAGGAACAAAAATCAACACCACTAAGCCTGACACACCATTACCAGTGCTAAACCTTGAGGCAAAACAACAATTTGGAGATGACATCGATGGATCCATGGACAAAGAGCATAAGATTTTCCTCCCCAAACTTGACATTGCAGGGCCCAAGATAGAGACGGCAGATGTGGACATTGGTCTTCCTACATTAGATGTGTCATTACCAAAGATGGCTGCAAAAAGCATTGATACTGAGGGACATGCGAGTACTGGGGTAAAATTTGAAATGACAAAATTAGATATCTCTCTTCCAAAAATAACTTCCCCTGAGTGTGAGGTCATAGTTGAAGAACCTGGAGCAAAAGGTGGAACAATTTACAAGCCAAATATCAGTATTCCATTACCAAAAGGTAAAGGTGAAGCAAAGGTGGATGGTCATTCTGAGAAAGGGCCAAGTGTGAAAATGCCACAAATAGACATTTCCCTCCCCAAAATGAAATTACCACAAGGTAAAATTGATATTGAAGGGCCTGAGGTCGACATTTCTTTGCCAAAAGAAACGCTAGAGGGGGATGCATATATTGAGGACCACTTTGGAAAAGGGGGAAAGATTAAAATGCCTCGAGTAGATGTCCACCTACCTAATGTGAAATCATCTGAGCATGCCATTGCTGAGGGGCATGACATAAAAGCAGGAAAATTGAGTATGCCATCAATTGAAATTTCACTTCCTATAGGCAAAACTGAGGTTGGAGCTGATATTTCATTACCAAAAGAAAAAACAAATGAACAGATTATTCTTGAGGTTGACAAGGGAGATAAGTTTCAGATTCCTAAATCTGATATAAGTCTACCTAAACTCAAATTAGGAGAAGTTGATTTTGATGTTAAAAGAACCGATGGGAAGTTTCACATGCCAGCAATTGATATATCATTGCCACATAGAAAATACCAAAAAGATATTAATGTGGAACCCTCTGGTAAAGGTGGAAAGGTTGAAATTCCAAAGGTTGATATCTCTCTGCCTGCAGTGAAAGCTTCTGCAGTTGAGATTTCCTTGCCAAAAATGAAGTCAAAACAAGGTGACATCAGTATTAAAGGGTCTGACAGCAAAATATTGAACATGCCATCCGTTGATATATCATTTCCAAAAGTAACAGAAACAGGTAATGTTGATCTCAAGAGACATTCAGGAAAAATAGGCAAGTTTGATATTCCAAAACTGGATATTTCCTTACCAAAATTTGAATCAACCAAAGGGGAACTCAGCATGGAAGGACCTGAATTCAAAGGTGGCAAATTAAATATACCTTCTTATAATATCTCATCAGATGTTTGTCTGGAGGGAGAAACCAAAAGGGGCACAAAATTTCAAAAGCCAAAAGGGGGTGAAGTTGATGTTCAAGGTCCCAATATCAAGGGTGGAAAGTTTCACATGCCCTCTATTGATATCTCTCTGCCAGGAGGAGATGTAGATGTTGAAGGACATGCAGGAAAAGGAAGAAAATTTGACATGCCTAAATTAGATGTTTCCTTGCCTAAATTAAAACCATTAGGAGGTGAAATGGACATTGAAAGTCCCGGTATCAAGGGTGGAAAGTTTCACATGCCCTCTATAGATACCTCTCTGCCTGGAGGAGGAGCAGGAGGAGATGCAGATGTTGAAGGACCTGCAGGAAAAGGAAGAACATTTGAAATGCCTAAATTTGATGTTTCCTTGCCTAAAGTAAAACCATTAGGAGGTGAAATGGACATTGAAGGTCCTGATATCAAGGGTGGAAAGTTTCACATGCCCTCTATAGATATCTCTCTCCCTGGCGGAGGAGCAGGAGGAGATGTAGATGTTGAAGGCCCTGCAGGAAAAGCAAGAAAATTTGAAATGCCTAAATTAAAACCATCAGGAGGTGAAGATGACGTTCAAGGTCCCAATATCAAGGGTGGAAAGTTTCACATGCCCTCTATAGATATCTCTCTCCCTGGCGGAGGAGCAGGAGGAGATGTAGATGTTGAAGGCCCTGCAGGAAAAGCAAGAAAATTTGAAATGCCTAAATTAAAACCATCAGGAGGTGAAGATGACGTTCAAGGTCCCAATATCAAGGGTGGAAAGTTTCACATGCCCTCTATAGATATCTCTCTCCCTGGCGGAGGAGCAGGAGGAGATGTAGATGTTGAAGGCCCTGCAGGAAAAGCAAGAAAATTTGAAATGCCTAAATTAAAACCATCAGGAGGTGAAGATGACGTTCAAGGTCCCAATATCAAGGGTGGAAAGTTTCACATGCCCTCTATAGATATCTCTCTCCCTGGCGGAGGAGCAGGAGGAGATGTAGATGTTGAAGGCCCTGCAGGAAAAGCAAGAAAATTTGAAATGCCTAAATTAAAACCATCAGGAGGTGAAGATGACGTTCAAGGTCCCAATATCAAGGGTGGAAAGTTTCACATGCCCTCTATAGATATCTCTCTCCCTGGCGGAGGAGCAGGAGGAGATGTAGATGTTGAAGGCCCTGCAGGAAAAGCAAGAAAATTTGAAATGCCTAAATTAAAACCATCAGGAGGTGAAGATGACGTTCAAGGTCCCAATATCAAGGGTGGAAAGTTTCACATGCCCTCTATAGATATCTCTCTCCCTGGCGGAGGAGCAGGAGGAGATGTAGATGTTGAAGGCCCTGCAGGAAAAGCAAGAAAATTTGAAATGCCTAAATTAAAACCATCAGGAGGTGAAGATGACGTTCAAGGTCCCAATATCAAGGGTGGAAAGTTTCACATGCCCTCTATAGATATCTCTCTCCCTGGCGGAGGAGCAGGAGGAGATGTAGATGTTGAAGGCCCTGCAGGAAAAGCAAGAAAATTTGAAATGCCTAAATTAAAACCATCAGGAGGTGAAGATGACGTTCAAGGTCCCAATATCAAGGGTGGAAAGTTTCACATGCCCTCTATAGATATCTCTCTCCCTGGCGGAGGAGCAGGAGGAGATGTAGATGTTGAAGGCCCTGCAGGAAAAGCAAGAAAATTTGAAATGCCTAAATTAAAACCATCAGGAGGTGAAGATGACGTTCAAGGTCCCAATATCAAGGGTGGAAAGTTTCACATGCCCTCTATAGATATCTCTCTCCCTGGCGGAGGAGCAGGAGGAGATGTAGATGTTGAAGGCCCTGCAGGAAAAGCAAGAAAATTTGAAATGCCTAAATTAAAACCATCAGGAGGTGAAGATGACGTTCAAGGTCCCAATATCAAGGGTGGAAAGTTTCACATGCCCTCTATAGATATCTCTCTCCCTGGCGGAGGAGCAGGAGGAGATGTAGATGTTGAAGGCCCTGCAGGAAAAGCAAGAAAATTTGAAATGCCTAAATTAAAACCATCAGGAGGTGAAGATGACGTTCAAGGTCCCAATATCAAGGGTGGAAAGTTTCACATGCCCTCTATAGATATCTCTCTCCCTGGCGGAGGAGCAGGAGGAGATGTAGATGTTGAAGGCCCTGCAGGAAAAGCAAGAAAATTTGAAATGCCTAAATTAAAACCATCAGGAGGTGAAGATGACGTTCAAGGTCCCAATATCAAGGGTGGAAAGTTTCACATGCCCTCTATAGATATCTCTCTCCCTGGCGGAGGAGCAGGAGGAGATGTAGATGTTGAAGGCCCTGCAGGAAAAGCAAGAAAATTTGAAATGCCTAAATTAAAACCATCAGGAGGTGAAGATGACGTTCAAGGTCCCAATATCAAGGGTGGAAAGTTTCACATGCCCTCTATAGATATCTCTCTGCCTGAAGGAGGAGCAGGAGGAGATGTAGATGTTGAAGGCCCTGCAGGAAAAGCAAGAAAATTTGAAATGCCTAAATTAGATGTTTCTTTGCCAAAATTAAAACCATCAGGAGGTGAAGATGACGTTCAAGGTCCCAATATCAAGGGTGGAAAGTTTCACATGCCCTCTATTGATATCTCTCTGCCAGGAGGAGATGTAGATGTTGAAGGACATGCAGGAAAAGGAAGAAAGTTTGACATGCCTAAATTAGATGTTTCTTTGCCTAAATTAAAACCATCAAGAGGTGAAGTTGAAGGTACTGATATCAAGGGTGGAAAGTTTCACATGCCCTCTATAGATATCTCTCTGCCTGGGGGAGGAGCAGGAGGAGATGCAGAGGTTGAAGGACCTGTAGGAAAAGGAAGAACATTTGAAATGCCTAAATTTGATGTTTCCTTGCCTAAATTAAAACCATCAGGAGGTGAATTGGGCATTGAAGGTCCTGATGTCAAGGGTGGAAAGTTTCACATGCCCTCTATAGATATCTCTCTGCCTGGGGGAGGAGCAGGAGGAGATGCAGATGTTGAAGGACCTGTAGGAAAAGGAAGAACATTTGAAATGCCTAAATTTGATGTTTCCTTGCCTAAATTAAATCCATCACCAGGAGAAATCAATGTTGAAGGTCCCGATATCAAGGGTGGAAAGTTTCACATGCCCTCTATAGATATCTCTCTGCCTGGGGGAGGAGCAGGAGGAGATGCAGATGTTGAAGGACCTGCAAGAAAAGGAAGAAAATTTGAAATGCCTAAATTTGATGTTTCCTTGCCTAAATTAAATCCATCACCAGGAGAAATCAATGTTGAAGGTCCCGATATCAAGGGTGGAAAGTTTCACATGCCCTCTATAGATATCTCTCTGCCAGGAGGAGGAGCAGGAGGAGATGTAAATGTTGAAGGGCATGCAGGAAAAGGAAGAAAATTTGAAATGCCAAAATTAGATTTTTCCTTGCCTAAATTAAAACCTTCAGGAGGTGAAATCAATGTTGAAGGCCCCAATATCAAGGGTGGAAAGATTCACATGCCCTCTATAGATATCTCTCTTCCAGGAGGAGGTGCAGGAGGAGATGTAGATGCTGAAGGACCTGCAGGAAAAGGAAGAAAATTTGAAATACCTAAATTTGATGTTTCCTTGCCTAAATTAAAACCATCAGGAGGTGAAATCAATGTTGAATGTCCCGATATGAAGGGTGGAAAGATTCACATGCCCTCTATTGATATCTCTCTGCCTGGAGGAGAAGCAGGAGGAGATGTAGATGTTGAAGGACATGCAGGAAAAGGAAGAAAATTTGACATGCCTAAATTAGATGTTTCCTTGCCTAAATTAAAACCATTAAATGTTGAAGGACATGCAGGAAAAGGAAGAAAATTTGAAATGCCAAAATTAGATTTTTCCTTGCCTAAATTAAAACCATCAGGATGTGAAATGGACATTGAAGATCCCAATATCAAGGGTGGAAAGTTTCACATGCCCTCTATTGATATCTCTCTGCCTGGAGGAGGAGCAGGAGGAGATGTAGATCTTGAAGGACCTGCAGGAAAAGGAAGAAAATTTGAAATGCCTAAATTAAAACCATCAGGAGGTGAAATCAATGTTGAAGGTCCCGATATCAAGGGTGGAAAGTTTCACATGCCCTCTATTGATATCTCTCTGCCTGGAGGAGGAGCAGGAGGAGATGTAGATCTTGAAGGACCTGCAGGAAAAGGAAGAAAATTTGAAATGCCTAAATTAAAACCATCAGGAGGTGAAATCAATGTTGAAGGTCCCGATATCAAGGGTGGAAAGTTTCACATGCCCTCTATTGATATCTCTCTGCCTGGAGGAGGAGCAGGAGGAGATGTAGATCTTGAAGGACCTGCAGGAAAAGGAAGAAAATTTGAAATGCCTAAATTAGATGTTTCCTTGCCTAAATTAAAACCATCAAGACGTGAAATGGACATTGAAGGTCCTGAAATCAAGGGTGGAAAGTTTCACATGCCCTCTATTGATATCTCTCTGTCTGGAGGAGTAGGAGGAGATGCAGATGTTGAAGGACCTGCAGGAAAAGGAAGAAAATTTGAAATGCCTAAATTAAAACCATCAGGGGTGGAAAGTTTCACATGCCCTCTATAGATATCTCTCTGCCAGGAGGAGGAGCAGGAGGAGATGCAGATGTTGAAGGACCTGCAGGAAAAGGAAGAAAATTTGAAATGCCTAAATTTGATGTTTCCTTGCCTAAATTAAAACCATCAGGAGGTGAAATGGGCATTGAAGGTCCTGATGTCAAGGGTGGAAAGTTTCACATGCCCTCTAT